CCCGCTCTTGACGTTCCCGGGGTTATTTATTCCGTTCGACGCTTGAAAGCGCCACACCCCTTCTCCTCTTTCCCTCCGCAGTTGACCGGAGACGCGACACGGCGTGGGATCGCACGCGGATGCGCACGCGTGACAGACCCACAGATAGCAAAACGAGGCAAACAGGCGCACAACAACGGCGGCATGAAATTTGGGCCCGCTCCGAAAATTTTACATTTCTGTTTTCCTTCCTTCCTTCCTTCCTTGCCACCGCCTCGTCTTAAGGGGAAGGAACACACACAGCGAAGGGTTTTGGGGCTGCCGCATGAGGGCAGATCGGTATGACGTGAGCCCCACGCCTCCCGCCGTGGGGGACGATTTGGTCACCTGCTCCGTTCACTCTAGCCGACGGTTGGCCAAGTTCTGTCTTTGTCGTCCAGTGTACAACGCTGACCGTGTCTTGGTCGGTTATACCTACGAGTGCAAGGATGGGATGCAGTGTGCGGCCTCGGCCTCTAGGAACTCGTTTGTCCAACGACACCGCATTAATGATGCTGTTGGCGGCCGTGACGAGGCCCTTGTAGCATCGCTGATGCCGTCGGTGGCATCGACACCGGCTGCTGCTGCTGCTGCTGCTGCTGCGGACGTTGCTGCGGCGCCTGAAAAAGATGCTGCGCCGCAGCTGCCGAGAACAGGAGCTGCGCGTGGCCCGAATCGTTACTACGACCTTACCAACCAGCGGGACGCGGGGGCGACGGGGGCGAAAAAGGTTTGCTGGAACTGTGGCATGGAGGGACATGAAAAACCCGAGTGCCGTAATGCATTGTGCAGAACCTGCCACAGCCTACGGGGCTACCACCACACTTGTCAAGAGCCACGTCCTTCACCTTTCCTGAGCGTGTCTCCCGCTCTTCTTTTGTCGGAAGATATGTCTTCTGTAGCTTGTGTATCGTGTTCTTCACTGGGCCACTTTGATTGCTCCCCGTCCCGCGAAAATAGGGTGCCCTTCTGTTGTTTCTGCGGGGAGAGAGGACACAACGCCTATGACTGCCGTCGGCGGAAGGAACAGGTGCCGGACCGTTGGGTAACTCGATCCAAGGGGGCGGAGTACGGCATGAGGCCGGGCGGGGATCGAGGGAATACTGCCCTGGCGTCGCCAGTTTTCACTACCTTTGACGCCGCGAATGCCCCACCTGGACATACTCAGGGCTCTGCGTGGAGAGAGCGAGGGACGCCTGCGCGTGGTGATGTCCGGAACGCCAACCTGAGACCAATTGGAGCTTACGCTAGAGAAGGCAACACCGGTGGGTACTATGCGGGGAATGCTCGTCCCTACAGCGATAGAAGATCCTACGCTGGGTACAACGAGAGCAAATACAACGCCGCTCGCACGGAGCATGTGGAGTACCACTCACAGTACGGGAAGAAGCGCTCTCGCAGCGACGCCGAGGACTCTCGTCGAAATCGCCACCATCATCATCATGGTGACGGGACACCCAACCCCTACCATGACGCTGGCTGGGGACAAGAAGGCAGCCAGCGGGTGGGCAGGGGCTACGCTGACGACAGAGGTGGAGGCGAGAGACGGCAGGCGCAGCCGTATTACCGTAACAGCGATCGCAATCAGCAGCGACGAGGTCGTAGAAATCGCGGCGGCGGCGGCAGTGATGATGACTACGACAATTTGTTACTAAAAAAAAAGGAAGAGGGCCCAGACCGGTGCCCCCGGTAACCCCAAAGCCCCAAAGAGCACCCCGAAGATAAACGGCAGAAATGGAAGAAAACAGGGAGTAACGTGTCGCTGGCGCGTGCGCCACGCCGCTTCCCCCTTTCTTCCCCCGTGTTGAAACGGCAATGGAATTACAAAAATTTTTTTTTTTTTCCTTTCCTTTCGTCTTTTTTTTTTTCATTTACTCGGCTCTTTCTCCCTCTTGTTTGTGCTTGTGTTTGTTTGTTTGTTTTTTTTTCTTCCTCTTTTGCCTTGTCTTCTCGGTTTACTGGTTACTCAGAAGGAAAACAAAATGAGCCAACTAAAAGCATCCGTCGCAGCGGAATTGCTGGAGAAATACTTTGGTGCTCCGTACCTCTTCGACCGGGCCAACTCCTTCTTCCGCGAGAAGGTGTCACCGAAAAATACAGCTGGCCTTGAGGCACCGCCAACCATCACATGCGCCAGCTTCCTGCGCTTTGTGAACTGTACCGTTGATGAGAAGACCATTGATTCCTTGTGCGAGGCAGCAGCGTCCAGCTCAGTTGTCGAAGCCCTGAAGGGAGAAAACGGTGAGCGATGTCTGCGTCGGCGTGGTTTCCTGGACCCCAACGACGACCCCGCTCTTCGAAGCGTTGCGGTGTGGCCACTGCACCGCGCCTCAAAACCGGAGGAGGTGGAAGACTTCTTTCGACCGTATGGAAAGATTGAGTACGCCAGAGTCATGCTGCGGCCCCACGGTGACGCCCAGCCCTACGCCACCTTTGTGGTATGCTTTGCCACCGTGGATGAGGCCGCGGCGTGCGCCGCGGCGAATATATCCTTTGGCGAGGCACCCTCAGCGTTAGCACAACACTTTTTGCCGGCCCACCTGCATGTGGCCCTTATTGAGGACTATCGTGCCAAATCCGAAGAAAAGACCCGGCTTCAGGAGGAGATGCAGTTGAAGAAAAATGTTGTGAGGGCGCAGAAGGCGTTGGCGGAGCTGAACGACCAGGGCATCAGGCGCTTCTTGCGCAAGGGCGTGACACTGAAGGTTGAGGATGTGCCGCCTGGAACGCCGTGGCAAACAATAAAAATGAAGCTTGGAAATTTGAGCCTCACGAACCCTGCGTTGCGGAGGGGCATAACTCTCTTGAAGGTGGAGGGGCCCGACGAGGCCGCGCCGTCGAGGCCGTGGCGGGCCTTTGTTATCTGCCGTGACGAGAAGGTTGCCAAGGAAATGCTAACGAGCTTCAGCCTGGCAGACGGGGAGTTTGGGAAGCAGCTGCGGGAGGTGTGCCCGACACTGCTGCCGCTGACGGACGCGGAGGATGAGTACGCGCGACGGAACTTCCCCGAATGGTGTAGGCCCCGCATCGAGGCAAAGCGAGCCGAAAACCTGAAGCGTCAGCGCCAGTCTTGAACTTTTTGTTTTGTTATTGTTGGCGTTTTTTCTTCTTTCTTGTGTTAATTCTGACGCTGGACGCGGCGGAAACCCAGGAATGAGCCAGAACCCGAAAAAAAAGGGGGAGAGAGAAGGACAAACGATGCTGAGAAGGAAAAGGAGGGAGAGGTGGGTGGGGGTAACAGGACGCGGGGAGGACAATGAACATCATTAAAGACCCGTTTCACTTCCCTTTTCTTCTTTGGCGGGAGTCCGCTGAACTGTGCGGCGTCAGGAATAAAGCCCAATTCTGCTTCTGCTCCTTTGCTTTCTCGCACTGGCTGTTGTTTTGCTTTCCCTCACGCTTCTGACGCTGGAGGGGGTGACGATTTATTTGCCCTCGGCGACCGTGACACGCGCCTTCTTTTCCGCTTCCTTCTTTCTTCCGTGCGGCGTTGTCTCCATTGCCTAGCTCTCTCCCGCCCCTTGATGGCGCCGGCAGAGCACGGAGTGTTGGTGCCGCAGTGCGGAGTTCCCGCCTCGCGGGGGATCGGTTGCGGTGACGTTGTTGTCTCGCGACGGGAATGAGGTGGCCGCAGGGAAGGTTCTGGCAGCCTCGTTGCGCCCGTTGCGAGGCACCTTGCGGGTGGGAGCCGGAACCCCACTGGCACGTTGGCCGTGAACTTGCACTGCACTGCACTGCACCTCCGCAATCCCTTTGCGCTGGCCCTACAAAAGCGCCTTATCCGTTGCGTCCGGCAATGATGTGGCTTGGGTGCTTACTTGCTTGTAACGTGCGCCTGTGCGCGGGCCCGCTCGCAGGCTTGCATCCAACGTCACGGAAAATGCTGGGAGGGGGCGGCGGAGAAAAGGTAAGCGTGTGCTGTGCAGCGCGTCTGTGCCTCCCTCGCTCCTTCCCAGCCACTCTTGTTGCGGTGTCCTTTCTCCTCCCTGCTGCGTGTGTGTGTCTGAGCTGCGGCCACCGACACTGTTTCCGCCGGCGTCGCATTTTTTTCTTCTTCTTCTTTTTTCTTTTCCGTTTTTCTGCTCTCTCCCCCGCGCTCATCCCTCTGCACGGTGTGTGGTCGGCCCGTCACTCAGAAGAGATTCTGCCAATCCAATACACACCACCAACGCTAAAGGAAGAGGCCAGGTGAACCAAACCCGTAAAAAAAAAAGAACCGAAAGCATCGAAAAGAGCAGCCAAAAGAAGAACAAAAAGAAAAACGAGTGCGAGGCGAGAGGGCCAGCACCGCAAACAACGGAAGACGGTTGGCAGCAACTAAGTCAGAGCATCAAGTCCCCGCCGCCGTGGTGGTAACAGCTGCTCCGACACAGAGAGTAGGAACGCATACGCCCGCAGCACACAAGCAAGAGCGTTTTTTTTTTTCTGTTTATTTTTAGAAAAAAAAAGCAACTGGAGAAAAGAGTAGGGAAAACAAAACAAAACAACAATTGATAAAGAATTAATACGGATACATTCCACGTGTGTGTGCTGCTTGGGGCGTGACACGGTTTATTGTTGTTTAGCACCTTCCCTCAGCCGCGGGGTGGAAACGAAAGGCGGGACATAATTCAAGGCGCCTTCACGGATTTGTGTGCCTGGAAACAGCGGAAGACGCTTAAAGCAGCTCGTTTTAAACATTATCTACTGACGCCTACGTATAGTGTAAACCAAAAGCCGACGCCGTCAAGAAGCAGAGGAAGAAATGCTTTCAGAACTGTGTTTTCATGACCTGGGCGATGCACTCCCGCAGACGTACAATGGAGAGGTGACGTCGGTGCTGACCACCGGCAGCCCATTCGCGGAGGCCATTTCCGCCTCTGCGACCAAACAAAATGATGTCTGGAAAAGCAGCATGTTCTCTCTCCCCGACTTGGGCACCGACCTGCACAGCGAGCTCAATCTGCTGAGCCTAGACAAAAGCAACAGCAGTAGCAACGGCGATTTTCAGGCTGCCTCCTCCCACATCTCTGCCGCGGTGCAACTAACGTCCAAAGATGAGCAAATGACAAGCCCGGGAACGGACTCTAAAACAACCATTGCACCCACACCAAGCATACACCATTTTTCAACTGGCTCTGCTACCGCGCAGTCGAACATGTCATCCGTGAAAAATAGCACCCCAAATCCTCCTCTGGCGTGTCCTATGGTATATACTCCACAAGCAACTCAACTCAGCTTTTCCTCGCTTATGTCTGTCGGGAACACGACGATGCCGCCTAACAGCAATAACAATACTAATGGTGTGGCATACCAGCAGGCGTCTCCAGTCACAACAGTGTCAAATAACATACCCGCCTTTTTTACGGCTGCGCAAAATGGCGGCAACGTCGTGATGTTTGCCCCGAATAACTCGCCGCAAGCATTGTGCATTCCCGCCACAGGAACCGCTATGATCCCTTACTACTTCCTCACCCCACCGCAGCATAGACTCGAAGTGAACGGGGCAATGGCGTACTCTTCTTTGCCTACAACGCCGCAACCAATGACACCAGTAATGTACAGCCCATGGCCTCCGAATACAAGCTCCGTGGTGGGATCTGGGACGCCAACCCCTGTCAACTTGCATTCGAATACGCCTGGTATGCCGCCGATGTTTGACACATCAGCCAACGCGACGACTTCTCCGTCAATTCCTCTCAGCTTTGGGGCGACAGAGGGCAGCCAGAACTCGCCAGGCATCCCTCCGCTTGCTCAGGCGAGCGGTGAAGGCTCCGGTATCCCAAAAGCTCCTCCAAGAGGCAACCCGCCGAGTTACGATTCTCTCCGACTTCAGCTGGCAAAACGTCGCCAACCACCGGGGCGGCAGCGCTCTGGGACAAACGTTCATGGAAGCCTTCAGGGAATTTGTACGTACTACTCTTACAATCTTTCTGCAGCACTCAAGCAATATGAGCAGCCCGATTCCCATGTCGAAAAACCTGTAGAACAGGTTCTGCCCGTGTTTATTCAAATGTTCCCTTGTGAATTGAGAGATCGCACCATTATTGTCCTAAACCGCGTGGTTGAGGCTACATGTGGCCCTGACATTGCCACTGTAGTGGGTATTGAGCCGCGCTCCGAGACGTCGTTTATCACGCTCGTTCGCACGAATGGCGTTTGGCAGCTGATCCACAAACTGCGTTGTCGTGTGTTGATGGACCGTCATGGATTTTGGTACGCCGAGAACATGGAGCAGTACCTGCGGCTCAAGGAGTACTGCGAGAGTGTGCGGCGGCTGCCGCAGCAGATGCGCCACTTTCAGACGGACGGGCTGCCGTGCATGCCGCTGGTGGTGGAGCTCTCGCGGAGTGTGAACGCGGCGTCCGTGACGTCCCCCCCGGCCCGCCGCCATTTGACG